TGTCTCTCTCTCTCTCTCTCTCTCTCTCTCTCTCTCTCTATATATATATATATATATATATATATATAAATAACATAAGGTTTGAATTTTTATTGCGCCACATATGTAATGCCACGAACTTTTTGATGCAAACCAAAAGATTTCGAGTCAAAAATTCTAACTACTATTTATTCACATACCACATAAATCTTTTAAATACAACAAAAGTACTACCTTTACATAGCTATAGTTAATTCTAATATACTCTCCCATCAACTTCAATATAGTTTGCGCTAATCTTCACTGGACTCAATCTAGAAAGCAGAACCTCCTTTGTTTCCACTAACTTTGAATCCCTTTCCCCCTTCTTGACTCCATTATTTCATTCTTGCCGCATCTTAAACTAACCTATTGAGTTTTCTTCATTAACTAATGCTAAGCAATGGTTGTTTTTTTTTTAATTTTAATATTGATTAAACATCAGCCTTATTTCATTTGGTTTAAAATCAGCATCAGTCATCATTAGAACTAAAATCCTTATCAAAACTAATCAATACTTGGGCAGTCATACAAGAAATAAAATTCAAACAATAAAAGCTAGCAAGCAGCTGCTAAAAATAAGAACTATCTACTAAAACAAAAAACATTTGTAAAAATGACTCGAATCAACTCAATCAGAAATTAAATTAACAATCTTGAGCAGCAAAGTATCCATAACAAGCTACTCAAATCAAGATAATAATCATTAACCAATATGTGCCTAAGAAATCAGAACCTTTTAAATCTTGCTAAGAACATAAAGGCAAGTGCAAATTTCAATTACCTAAGCCTCCTGGTTTCTGGTCTCTCGTTTAGCACCCCAAGAAGCATTTCGGTTCCCATTTTTTTGGCCCTTCTTCGAAGCCCCCGAGCTTTGATCAGATAGTCCGCTTTTGCAACTCATCTCAATTTGGATTCTCCGCCGTCTCATTCTATGCTCGAGCCTAGTCGTCCTTAATGCACGGACCCTTTCCTCAATTTCTAAAGCTTGGGAGAAGTCCCAAAGCCTGAGAGTCCCCTCGTCCCCCCCACATATAATCCTATCGGCACCAATAACGACAGAAAACCAGCCATTCCCGGAGCCATGAAGCATTCTCTGAGGTGGCTCCACATTAACTGATGATGACGGATTGATTCTCGAATATTTACCAACTGAAGAGTGAGACGATTTCAATAGCTTCCTCACATCTATCAACGCCAGCCTTCCATCGCTCGAACACGAAACGAGCCAAGGGAACTCAAAAGACAGTGAATTAACAGAATTTTCATGCGGCTTCCACGTAGCACATGGTTTAATTTCGTCATCTTCATCATTGCCATTTGCCAACTTGAACATGTGAATATCTCCGTTTTCTCCGCCGGTAAACAACAAATCACCCAAGTAGCTTCGAGCGAGAGCACAAGTGTTACCAATATGAGCGTTATGAATGGCATCTATCAATTTTCCATTAGCAGAATCCCAGATGTATACGTCCCTCCCAGCAGAGCTTGCGATGGTGGAACCACGAGGGACGAGATCCCACACCCAATCCCCATGATTCAGAGTTCTAATGCACTTGAAGTTGAGTCTGTCCCATACTCTAACAGTCATGTCCCATGAGCCACTGTAAATTCTAGCAGAGTCCAAACCAAGGCAAGTTATGGGGCCATGATGGCCCCAGAGCCGAAACTCGAATTTAGGGTTCGCGGTGGAATTGGCGATGTCGAAAAGATGAGGGTTTCCTTCGATTACCTTCCAGCATTGGATGAAAGCATCCGTGCCTCCGACGACCAATAGGTAGGAATCTACGGCTATGGCACGAATAGTGCACCCTAGATGCGGCGAAGCAGTGAGGGCTAATCCTTCAACCGCGTCCCATATACGGATAATGGAATCATAACCTCCTGTGAAGATGAGCTTCGCAGACTGCAAAAAAGAAACTGCACGAACAGCCTCAGTGTGGCCGCGAAGAGTGTCAATGGTGAACCTTCCCATGAACGACTTGCTCCTGCCCTCCCTCTCGACAAACAAGTCCTTCCAGGATTTCTCGCCTGGGAGGTTTGATCCAGGAGAAGCAGCTGTTGGCAATGGAAGCCCCCATCTCTCACAGTAGAATTCCTTCCACGAATGATGATCAGAAGCTAGTTTCTGAAGCAAGATTGACACACAAGAAACCACTCCTAGGTCTTTTGGGTCGAGGAGGTGCAGGATCTCCGACACCAGAGCTGGAGGAAGATCAATGATTGAACGACAGCCATTAGGAAGATAATCAACTGTTCCTCTGCAATCACTAGCTGTAAGAGGTTTCCTTGTAGCAAATTTAGCGGTGGAATGTCGTGAATTAGTTTTCTTCTTGAGATTCTCAGTGTTCTTCAACCTAGAAACAGTGGTAGGAATACTAAAACTTGTATTCAGAGAATCAATTTCTTCAACAGAACCACCGTCGTAATAGTTATTTGCTGAAAACCGTTCTAATTCAATACACTGCAATGCCATAAACCAAATGGATAAAACTCAACGAAATCAAGAACCTCGCCTCCCGGCCGAGATCCCTGCAATAAGAACGTAGAACAAAAACAAAACCCAAATTTTAATTTTTTTAGTGCAACACATGGATCCGTGGACCCTCAAATGAGAATAAAGATTAAAAAAAAAAATCTCAATAACAGAGCACAGCTCCTAGGAAACCCTAGCATCACCGCACAACTAAAAGCCTGCTAATATATCAAAGAATAACAGTTAATAACGAAATTCAACCTGTAAACAACCTTGTTACCGATCCAAACCCTAACAAGAACGCGGGCACAAAAATAAGAAGAAAAATAAAATTTTTAATTGGTAAGAAATAGGACGAGATTCATCAAAACCCGATTTTTTCATAAACCTAGAATCGCGAACTTAAATAGAGAAACTAGTAAGAACCTGTAAATAAGCTGCCGCGAAGCTCTAGTAGAGCTCGAGAAGGGCGTCGGAACGAAAGCTCCGCGTGCGGCGCAGTTTCAAGGTTGGTTAATGAGAAATTATTAATCGTTATAATAATAACTATATTAATAATATAAACTCGAAGTGAATAATCAGCAAAACGTAAACGGATTTGGATCTGCTTCACGAACCGACCCGAATATATGCTTTCCACGAAAGCTTTTATAGCAGCAATGAGTTTAGTCCATCACCTTTGAATTCTGGATTACCAATGTGGACTTGGGATACAGACATGTCACAATATGATATAGGAATACAATGTTAACCCAATTGTCTCGATAAGAAGGTCCCAATTATATCAAAATTAGTCTAATTCAAGTCTTGATCAAATCATTAAAGTATATTTAGAAGTTCAGATCATTAATTTGTATGGTCAAGTGAACTTCAAACTTATATATTTATATCCAAATTGAGTGTTTTGATGAGAGGAATCTAACGAGTCTAATCTTCATTAATTTGGAGGTTATTAAGGCCCTAAAAACATTAAAAAAAAATTATGATCAAAGGGATCAATGTGGGACGTCCAATTAGGTGGTTGTGAGAGTTATTCACTCAATGATCAAAATGCATCCCAGTTGTAGCCTATAAATAGACCTTCTCTCTTCGCTTGATGGGTAGGAGAAGCCAAATTCTAATTTTATATTGGATTGAATACCCAACGATAACTATTCGCCTTCGTAGTTGCTTACCATCGTCGACCATCGCCCGCCTCCCTTCGCCCGCCATCGACCTCCACTGGCCAACCTCTGATCGCCGTCATCGACGAACTATGTTGTGTAACAACGTAACACAAATAATGTGCAATGAAGTATATGTAAAACGGTGTAACAAAGTACCTAAAATACAACGTAACAAAGTACTCCAAACACGGTGTAACGAAGTACCCAAAAAAAGAGTGTGATGAAATACCCTGAGTATTGTGCAATGACATATCCTGACATGATGTATTGAAGACCCAACGATAACTCTCGACTACGAATGCTTACTCATAACTCCTGAAATTTCTTCTTACATTATATATCGACAAAGTGATGCCGCTGGTGTAATTAAAAACCCAAGAAAAAGATTAACCACCAATGGTACATCGACTCACTATGATTTATGTGACCAGTTACTACTATGGCTTCCCACTACAGCTTACACGACTAACTAATGTCATTACAATCTTCCACTACAACCTTTGTGGCTAACTAACGCTGTTGTAGAGACCCTCTATGGCTTATATGGGTAGTTATTATTATAGCTTCCTTTTACGGTCTATGTGACTAACTATTGCCATTATAACCTTGCACAACAGTCTTTAAGGCCAACTAAAACTCTTACAGCGATATCCTATGACCTATGTGACCAGTTACTACTGCAACTTCCCCTTACGACCTACGCTACTAACTATTGTCATTCTAGCCTTCCATTACAACCTCTCTAATGCTCCTACAATGACCCACTATGGCTTATGTGGCCAAATATTAATGTAGCTCTCACTATAACTTATGTGACTAACTATTGTAATTAAATCCTTCCACTACAGCCTATGTGCCCAACGAACACTCTTACAGCGACCCACTATGACTTAAGTGACCAATTACATCTTTAAGTACCCACTATGACTTATGTGGTTAACTATTATTGTTACAAATTTATATTATAGTTTTTGTGGTCAACTGACTCTCTTGTACTATGACATATTCATCCAATTAGTAATGTAGTTAACCACTATGACTCGAGCGGATAACATCTATTATTATAGCCTTCCACTATAATCTTTCTGGCCACTGACACTTTACAACAACCCACAATGACATATGCGGTCAGTTATTACTGTGTCTACCTGTTACGACATGTGTGGTTAACTTATGTCATTGTAGTCGCTTACCACATTCTTTGTGGTTATGATCTATTGGTTAGTTACTAATCCACTACAACCTATTGGTTAGTTACTACCGTAGCTTCCCATTATGGATAATTGTTTATCAACACAACCTTTTACTACGACCTCTATGAATAATTAATGATATTGCAGTCTCCACTATGACTTCTGTGGCTAACCGACGATTTTGTAATCTTCAACTACGACCCTCGTGGTCGGCTGATGTTTTTGTAGTCTCCAAATACAGCCTCAGTGGGTAGCTGATATTAATGGAGTCTTCAACTATGAAGTATGCCAACAACTACAATTTATGTGGTGAATTGCTACTACACCTCTAATTATGCCCTTCATGACCAACTGACATTATTGCAGACACTAATTATAACCTTACGTGACCAACTATTATTGTTGGATCCTCCAACAACGACCTTTGACTAGCTGTCACTATTGCAAACACCGTGAACAATCTTTTTGTGGCCAGCTACTATTATTATCCCCTAGAACTTTAGTTGTTGTAACTTAATAACAACTATGAAAGTAGGACTATTATTGTACATTTGTAATTATTAACTTTGCAATTTCATCTTCTATATTTTAGGAGAAGAACAAACCAATCTAGTTACAATCACATAGTAGATTGCTTTGATCGGGCTATACCCTATATAATTTTTTTCTCTTTATTGGGGTTTTCCATATAAATACTCTTGATCCCTCATTATGTTATATTTCTTGTATTTATGTGTGTGATGAATCTTATTACAACATCGAGACAAAAAATTATTACTCTACCACCATGAATCTTTCGACACGCACAAAAGTTGACAGTAAGTATCATATAACATATAAAAATAGTATCATGTTTTAAGACATATTATATTATCATCAAAATATATCATTAAATCAAATATATAGTATTCAACATATAAAATAATATTATGGTTATATCTTAACTTAAAAAAATAATTTTGGATATGTTAACATAAAAACACAAGGATTTTTGCAATAATTATTGTTCTGTTGATTGTCTTATTCATCATATTCATTGGTTAATCATTTATAAGAGTAGAAATTGGAAATTTAGAATAGATATTCCCAATGATATTTTAAATTTTTATAGCATTTGAAGTCTCCGTCTGTTCATTTTTTGATTTGGTGGTTTATTTGTTTTTCATAATTGCCCCTCTTGGTTTTGTGTGCTCCTTTTTCCTCTCTCTAGTTCCTTCCTTTTGTTGTTGTTTTCATTTTTTTTTGTATGGTGGTTGTTGGTTATCCATTGTGTCACTGATGTTGGTGGCTCTTTTGGTTTGTTGTTGTTTTGGGTACTATTACGGTTGTTAGTTGTTGTGCTAGATTGGTTTTGTGATTTGTTGTAGTCCTATCTTTATTAATATTTAACTAGATTAGGAATAAATTTTATAAATATATTTTTAATCTTGGATGGAATGTTAATATTTTCTTGCAGGAAAGTTTTGTGCTCTTATTTGATGTCCATTTTCTTTTTTTGGTGGTTTCTTTTTGTTTTTATTCAGTTTTGGGTTGTTTTCCTTATTTTTAGTATTTTGATGATGGTGTTTTTGTTTTGGATTTATTTGTAAAGTTTTAAGTGTCTTATTTTCAGTTGTTTCTTTTCATGTTATTTACTCTTATTTTTTACCTTTTAGTTTTTGTTTTTTTGGACATTAGGCTGTTATTTTGTATATTGTGGTTTGATTTTTGTTTTTTATTGAATTTCCTCCTTGATCTTTTATAGTTGTTGTGATTGGTTTTGAACTTTGATGATTTCCAACCATAATTAAAATTTAAACAGATTTTTCTTATTTTATAGTCTAAGTCGTGGATGGAATTTTAATTTTCTCTTAAGTAAATTTTGAGCTATAGATTTGTTCTCCTTTTACTTTTTGTTGTTTTTCTTTAGGGTTTTTCTTCTATGATATGTTGTTTTTTCTTTTATTGTTTTTTGTTTACTTTTATTTGTGGTTTTTGTGTTTTCTCTTTTTATCTTTGTAGGTTTAGAAATCATTTGTTGTAGATGTTCTTGTTGTTGAAGTTGTGTTTATTTATTGTTGCTTCTAGTGCAGACATTTGAATACTTGGTGTTGTTGATCCTAGTGGAGCTATTATGTTTGCAGAGGTTTGTTGCTGATTATATTGTCTAGTTGTTGTTTGGTAGAATTTTCTTGCTGAGGGTGCTTCAATGTTGTTGCTGGATTTTTGTTAATCATAGTTTTGCTTTTGTTTTTGTTCCTAGCACAACAATGGACATGTTTGTAGTCAGTGGATGTTATTTGTCATTTTTTTTGTTTGTAGTTGTGATGCATGCTAGAAAATTCACAGCGATAGAGGCTTGGATTATCGACTTAGCATTATCCGAGAATTCAGTACACACTCTGATAAAATAAAACAACCAGTCGTTACATCAAAAAATTTATGTAGAAAACCCGTAAAGGGAAACAACCACATAGTTTGAACCAGTTAAAATAATCTACTATGAATGATGAGTACACATGTTCACTCTTCTTAGAGAAGATATAATTACAAAGTTCTATAACTATAATATGGTTGTCGTTCTTAGCAACAACAAGTTGCAAATGCCATAATCAATTGTTATGGAGATAGTAGTCCATCAGGAGTATTGTAGATGGTAGTTGTAGCACTAACTTGTCATAAAAGTTGTAGTTGATAACCATGACAATATTGGGCCAAGTGGACTGTAGATGGTGCTCCAATAGCATTGGTTGTCTGGAGTAATCGTAGTAGGCAGTTGTGGGGAGCTGTGGACCACGTAGGATGTAGTTGATCACGTATGTGATAGTGGTGAGTAATAGTGATGTTTGTAGAATGAGGGGGTTGGATTCAAAAGCTACACGAGCTGTGAACCACATATGTTGTAGTTGGTCACTTAGACCGTAGTGACAAGTAGTAATGAAGTTCATAGGCCGTGGGGGCCGAAGTTGGGAGCTGCACGAGATGTGGACCACATATGTCGTAGTTGGTTTCTTAGGTAGTGGTGGCAAGCAGTAGCGACGTATGCAGACAACAGGGTCCTGAGTCGAGAGTTGTAGGAGTTGGGGACCACATAGGTCGTTGTTGATCACATGGACCTTAATGGTGAGTTGCAATGTCGTTGGTAGGTATCAGAGGCCATAGTCTAGAACTTCATGAGTTGTGGACCACTTAGGATGTAGTTGGTCATGTGGGTCATAGTGGTGAATAGTAGTCACATCCGTAGACTGCGGGGGCTGGAGTCGGGAGCTGCACGAGCTGTGGACCATATATGTCACAATTGATCACGTAGCCCGTAGTGGTGAGTAGTAGCGAGGTCCGTAGACCGCGGGGGTCGACGCTAGGAGCTGCACAAGCTGTAAATCACGTAGGTTATAGTGACAAGTAGTAATGACATTCGTAGGGGGTCGGAGTTGAGAGCTATAGGAGCACATGCATGATGCGTTGTTACATCGCTTCGGGATGTGTTGTTGCACCGTATTTGGGGTTAGCCCGAAATTCGGGATGATACGTCGCTTTGTATGTTGTTTCTTGACTCTGCGATGTCAGTTATTGCTTCGTACGATATTTCATCGCAAGCAGTGGGCGACAACTAATGGTGTTCAACAACGATCGAAGAGTGGTGGTCGGCGACAAACATCAAGTAACGCTGACCTTTGGCTCATTCTCCAAGCGTCAAACTCTCCCCCTCCCCTCATGAGAGGGGTGGAGTTTTATTTATAGAGATATGAGTGCAATTAATGTATTAATTTGAACCATTGTGATCAGATGCTCAAGATAGCATCATTTTATCATACGGTGTTTGATGGACATTTAAGTGCCTCATGACGTCAGAATTGAGTGATTTTTGGCACGTTGAATTTGTCTTATCGAGACAGTCAACTCAACTATAAATTTGTCAGATTTGACATTCATTTAATTTCCCAAATATGCTTGAGAAGCTTCTTAAAATAGTTTAGGATTAGATAAATTTCGGTATCATCGGATCCGTCTCATCGAACCTATTAGTTTGACTTTAAATTTACTTAAATCAGAACTCTGAAGGACTCTTAATCGAAAATTGTATGTTTCTTCCTCAAAAGATTATATTGAGATTCATGTTAAACTTCTAGATTTGTGGTGGATGATATCTTTCTTTATTATGTGTGCGTTATTTGTGTTGTTTATTTTTTATTATTTTTTTTTTCCAAAAAAAAAGGAATACTTGACATATTATATTAATATATAATAACATTGATTTTCGCTGCGGCCACTTAGGTTACATCTACTTCCGCTTCGCTCTTCAATTCCCATGCCGCAAAATGCTTCGTCTTCTCCATCGACATCTTTTTACACTGTCAATCGCGAGCGATAGGTCTTGCCGACCCACTCTTCTGCGTCTCATCCACGGAAAGCTCCCTAAAACGCCAAACTCATCTTTTTCTGACATCACCATATCCTACCTCGTGGGATCTTGCGGCCTCTCGCCCGCGGCAGCAATTTCCGTCGCCAAAAACTTTACATTCAAAACCAACAAAACCACCACAAACGCAGATTCCTTCCTTTCCCTCCTTAGATCTCATGGCTTTACCCAAAGCCAAATTGCGGATATCATCATCAAATTCCCTTCACTGCTCACCTACAACCCCGAGAAGAAAATCAAGCCCAAGCTGGAGTTTTTCCTTAACCTCGGCTACTCAAGAGCCGACCTTGTCAGGCTCATCACCTCGGACATACACATTCTGAAAAACAGCTTGGAAAAGAGAATCAAACCCAACTATGATACGCTCAAGGCCATCCTCGGAACCGATAGGGAAATCATCGTCGCCATTGGGAACTCATCCAGAATTCTTCGGCAGAATTTGGACAGGTATTTGCTTCCCAACATAAAGACCTTGAGGGATCTGGGAGTTCCAGGGCACAGAATCGTTAAATTGGTCACCTTTTATCCACGATCTTTGTTGATAAACCCTGCGAAGTTCAACAAAGCCGTCGACTTGCTGAAGAAAATGGGCTTTGATGTCTCCAAGTCTGTGTTTACCTTGGGAGTCAATGTTCTCACTGTGCTCTGTAACTCCACCTGGAACCGAAAATTTAAGCTTTACAGAAGCTTGGGATGGTCGGACGATGATGTTTTAACTGCGTTCAAAAAGCATCCTTTCTGCATGCTTATGTCGGAGAAGAAGATCTGGCATAATTTCAATTTCTTTGCTAAAGAGCTTGAATGGACGCCCTCCTTCGTGGCATCAAGGCCTGTTTGTCTTTTTTTCAGTTTTGAGAACACAATTTTTCCAAGATATAAAATTTTCAGGCTGCTGGAATCGGAGGGCTTGCTAAAAATTAATGGCAGTTTCTCAACCCTTCTGTGGTTGCCGAAGAAGAAATTCTTAAATCGATACGTGATCAAGTTTGCCGATCAAGTGCCGGAGTTGCTAGAAGTTTACAAAGATAATTTAGCATTGACTGGATTGAGGTAGATATTTAAGTTTTTTTTGTTTGTTTTTTTCTTAACTCTTGTTTTAAAAATATGTTTGATTGTTGTGTTCTTCATGTGTTTTTATTTTTTGTTATTAAAGATGAATTTGATTGTTTTTAAAAACACTCAAACTAACTTATAAAAATTATTTTGAACATTTTTAAAAACAAATTGATTTGTTTTCAACATGATAATAAATCAAAATATACAACAACAACAAGCCTTTATCCCTCTAATTGGGGTCGGCTTCATGATTCTTTTTTTCCATTGTCCTATTGAGTGTCATAGTTTCATTTTATTCTAATAAATTATGATCAATTTTGTACAACTTGCTCGGGTCTTTTTAGGTCTGCCTCTACCTTTCTTAACATAATCCATTGTCCTATTGAGTGTCATAGTTTCATTTTATTCTAATAAATTATGATCAATTTGGTACAACATGCTCGGGTCTTTTTAGGTCTGCCTCTACTTTTCTTAACATAAGCCAAATCTAAAACATCTACACAACAACCAACATAAAAGTTTTGTAAAAAAAATTAATCATCTCAAAGTCTTTCATACAAGAAAATTTAAAAATGAACAATCCATATTGCAGAGAGAAAATTCGTGCTACCTTTCAATCTCCAAGTTTTTTTATTGTGACAACCAACATAAAATCTACAAGTTTTGTCAGAAAAATTAATCATCTCAAAGTCTTTCTTACAAGAAAATTTAAAAATGAACAATCCATCTTGCAGAGAGAAAATTCGTGCTACCTTTCAATCTCCAAGTTTTTTTATTGCAGAGAGGAGCTTCATAATGGTATAAATAAGTCGTCAAGCTTTAGTTGTATTGTCCTCATGATCGCATGATATTTAATAAATCTAAATGATGATAAATTATACTAAAAAAATGAGGATTGATGATTTCTTAGAATAAGTGTTTGTGGATAATAAGTATAGCACAAAATAAATTAGTGCTTTCTTGTTTAAAAGCCACACAATGCAAAATATTAAAGATATTATGCGTAAGCAAACAAGTAAAAAATGATTTTCCTTTAGCCAATATATATATATATATATAAATGATCTCGCCTATTCAAGCCATTAAAATATACATTTTTGGAGATAAAATTTATTTAAATAATAGTTATAAATTAATTAATGCCACATCTGCAAATTCCAAGTAAAATAGGATCCAAGGAGCAAACAAGTAAAAAATGATTTTCCTTTAGCCAATATATATATATATATATAAATGATCTCGCCTATTCAAGCCATTAAAATATACATTTTTGGAGATAAAATTTATTTAAATAATAGTTATAAATTAATTAATGCCAAATCTGCAAATTCCAAGTAAAATAGGATCCAAGGAAGATAAATTTTCTTGTTTGATCATAATCCAATCTCTCAACGTTTTGTAGATGTATTGCTAGATTGCTCATATGCAATCTCATCAATGTATTAGAGCTGATTATTATCTATTGTGTTCTTATTGCTTTTATTTTATATCTTTTGTGTAGGTGTTCTAGTAGAGAACTTGGTATATGAGAAACAAGAGACTGGAAGTATCAATCTTTTTTTTAGCACATTATTCTCTATTATGTTCTTATTGCTTTTATTTTATTTCTTTTGTGTAGGTGTTCTAGTAGAGAACTTGGTGACAACTTGGTATATGAGAAACAAGAGACTGGAAGTAT